GTATGCCATTCTTCCAGTTTCATCATCTGGGACAATAGCACCGCCAGCAGCGACAATACGACGACGTGGATGTGGAAGACCGGCTTTTTGGAACAGACGCATCTCAATCTGACGCAACGTAAACAATCGTGATTTTAATTTCAAGCGTTCTTTACGAGACGGCAGACCTGAAAAGAGGGTAGTTTGAAAGTCAAAATGATTTTTCGGAATGTTTATTTGCATTTTCGATTCGAGTACCTTTAGGATGCCCCATAAAAGAACATTTAATGATGATCGTCGTCCAGTTCGCATCCCAGTTGGGACGAGAATATCAGACTTTCGCAACTACCTTGACCTCCATTGGAGTAATTGAGAAGGATACTTGTGGAATTCATCCCTAATTTCAGGTGTACTGCAATCGGTCGGTGCAGATATCAATACGTCGAACAAGCATCGACGCTTGGTTCTGTAGCTGTGGACCCGCACTGAACCGTTGAGGCGAACAGCGCACAGTCGGCTACTGACTGGAGTCCAGTCAAGAAGAGAGTGCTCAGCCTTGGCACCTTGCGCAATCCCAACAACGGCAACACCCCGAGGGTCGGATGCCGAATTGCTTGACACAAAGGGTGAAGCGTGAGGATGAGTTTTGGCGCGAAGAAGCCACGGAGTTGATTGAAGTAGAGTCTTGCATGTGTTTCGGAGACACAACATACATCTAAATTGAATGTCCCAAGGGTTCTCAGCTTGTTGACCGACTGGTAGAGTGTGCGGAGGTTGAACGCGCCAAAATGAAAAAGGAATTGTGGCTTCGAAAATCCTATGGATTCCCATCATTTGGCCTTACTGGTAAAACGCTGAATGATATCCGATGAGTAGCGTAAACAGGAGACACCTGGGATTATTCGGGAATGAGTGGACGCACTAGATATATGGGAAAGGTTTTTCAAATGGATGCCTAAGACTAGGTCACGAATTACTTCGCGGTACCCAAAATTAACAAAGGAGTTTTTCTTTGGGTATTTAGCCGGATCGTTTGACTAAAAATTCTGACCCACTGCAGTTGGCCAAAACCCTGATCCCAAACCAAACACACACATTCCTGGCAGTGGTCACCGGCTCGATTGGGTATCGAGGTGTATTAGGCAACTTGGACATTTCNTGGGTGTATGATCCGATGAACTGGACACCGGCACCCAATGCATCGCGGTTTTCACACACCGCCCCGCGGATTGCGGGTCAGGTTTTGGCTGGCCAAAGGCTCCGGTTGTGAACTTCTTAAGAAAATTAACCTGCTTTCAGCTGGGCAATCTAGCAGTATCGTGCCCTGGAGTAAATCGTGAACTTCTTTCTTTTTCATAAAGATGATTGTACCGTGATTTGCTTCGCACACAGTCTGGATTCAGACGCGTGAAATGCACAAATTGGTGGAGTTTTCTTGAGGAATCCCAACCGGAGGATTCGATTCAACGCGGAAGCGTGAACGAAGCACCCATGTATGAACTTCTAGCGACTTGTCACGAAAGGCCTTCGGGTTCATGTTCAGTGTATTGTTCGCCGGCGCGTTGATTGTCGGTCGTTGTTCGGGAGTGGCCCTTAGTCTCATGCACCCAATGAGACAGCATTTTATTGGATGGGGCTGCCTAGCTTGGGCGGGGGGCAGCTGTCCGATGGAGTGCGAAGACTTTTCCGGCCATCAAAAGGAACCCAGGTAACTCGCTCTTATGTCCATCCAGCGGGGTTCTTTGACCAGTAACCTGCCCCTTACAGTGTTAATCTGCTGGAATGACCTCTCCAGGGGTGAGCGTGGATAGGCAAAGAAAGTCAGGTACCCAAACAACTGAATTTGTGAGAATGAGCCTTGTCTGGCCTCTACTCATTGACCTTTCAGGCATGATTGGATGTGCGGCTGTGAGGAGCCATCCTGTATAGCTCGCAGGGTCATGGAGGCACGGAAGCCAGCACACTACGCCAAGATGCAATCTCGTCGTGATGGGTATTCCAGATCGGGAAGCATGAAACTAATCTACTGTATGCGTATGAAATTCCACTAGAAGTTTGATGACAGAAAGATGAATGTGCTTAAATGACCTTCCCTGTGGCTTTTAAAGCACAACATTATGCTTTGAAGATGGAAAAGGCAAATTCAATACCAGTACCCAATTTCATCGGGTAAGTTTGAAGATCCCTAGATCCTTCACTTGATAGAGTGGTTTTGCCAAATAGTGGGTTTAGATGGCTATGTAGTCAAACTTGACATGAAGTTCTTGCTGCTGAATCTCGTTAAAGGGACGACATTTGTTTTCCTTTAAGATTCTATTGCAAGGGCGTAGTTGTGCAAACAGGGGAACAGTAATCGCGATTGACCAGCCAGGTAAGCGGAAGTTAAGTCTCCAATCGAACGATGGTCGCAGTTGCACTGGCAAGCCTCTGCGATTGGTTGAACAATAATCGCGGCAGTACTTGTTAGAGCACTGATGAAAATAGACAGGTCACTGACCAGAGGTAATAGTAACTAGGGTTCCTTATTGTGTTTGAGTGATGTACTTAAGGATAACGGCAATTTAGTGTGGTATATAAAAGCATGAATATGAAGGTGGAAGAAAACGATCTTCGCCGTATATTGGTATACAAGCTGGAGGATGGAAAACATGTTGAACAACTTTTAAAAGTAAATATGCATCTGTCCAAAATATTTGTTCTCTTTCGGAATTCTGTCTAAGACGTAGTTAGCAAGATCGTTCAACGCGAAAACAGCCAGTTGGGTAAATACAAAGGCGAGTTTTGCGTGCGTATATATTAATGGATATTGTAGTCCGTAATTAACATGAGATCAAAGTTTTATTAGGATTATCAGTTTACCGAACCTGCTTCGAAAAACAATGCCTGCATCTGAGATGAGTTAAGCGTTGGTCCAATTTCGTCGTCGCTTGAACTTCTCCATTCCGACTTTCCCACATGGTTCTCCGCTCTACAACAGATTCCCCTGTGGTCATTCTCCACGAACACTAATAGCATCGAATTCCGAACTAACTTTCATCCTTTGCCGGCCCGAAAATCATGCGACCAATCGGGTTCATTGATCGATCGGTAGGATGGTTCAGCCGTAAAAGGGGATTTATACCAAATTTAAGGTAGATTTGAGAAACTTTAATTTTCATTTGCGAAACCGTCATTTTGAATGGAGAAATCATCACTTGGAATTGAGAAAGAAACGCTGTGGTTGAATCCGCTTCCTTTCAGCGCACCTCATTGGTCAATTGATCACACATTTTTTCTACCCCCGGATTGACTACTTGTCTTCCCACGCTGTTTCTGGTCACGGGTGGGAGAGACAAGACAATGAGAAACGATAGAGCAATTACACTGTAAGTTTGATTAGGATAAAAATTTGTCATCCCGGCCGCAACGCGTGTGGATCCGTATATCTGTAACAAAAAGACCAAAACCTATGTTCATGCTCACCTGATTTCAGTGCATCCATATAAGCCTCCAATTCGTCCAATTCAGACGGTTGCTCGCTCCGAGGAGCAAATTCTGTGAGGAAATAGAGAGAAAGGAGCACAAGGCAAATATCTAATGGAAAAGTTATTACACTGGTATAGAAAGCAACGTGGTTGATGTGTTACTGTAACTTCCGCAGATGCACTGAGCAGTGGTTGTTCTTATAAGCGATAAAAAATGAGAGTATTGCTCACTTTCGTCGATTTCTCGAAGCTGGTCTTCTAATGCGACTATTTCACCACCAATTTTCTCCAGTTCGGCTAACTGCAATGAGAAAACGCAAAGATACAACATATGCCATCATTTTAGTATGCACATGTTTTGTTCTTTTCGAATAGATAGAGACGGTGTTGCGCAGCTGATCTTTTTCACTCAGCCAAAAGTTACTCCAAAAGGAATAGGACAGCACACACACACGCAATTACCACTTTAATCAATGAAGCATTGTGCAGCGCGGCAGCGTTTTGATTGTTTTTCTCCCGTCCAGCAGCTTCGATTGATGCTACCCGAGCAGCTGCTTCCTCCGCCGTTTCGCCTTCTACACCCAGTTGCCGAATTCGGTCCAAGCGTTTTCGCTCGACTTGGCCTGTACGATCAATGAATGTGTCCTCATCGGAAGAATAATAATCATTATCTTCCCAGTACTTTTTGGAACGGATAACTTTTGATGGGCCAGCCGCATCTGAACGGAGAAGAAGTGTGCACGTCATTCACCATACAATCTGATATCATTTGTTTTGATGTTCATACTGAAAATGACACCGTTTTTCGAACGAGAAGGGTCTGATAATATTGGGTTTGCACGAATTAGTGAGCGAACAGGTGGATTGTTAATTGTGTCCACGTCCACAGTGATTCGGACCAGTGTGGCTCTGTGCGAAATGCACACCAGCAGGCATTTGCTCTAGACTGATTCATACTATTGTGCCGATTAGAAATTGGATTACTTCACGGTCATCTGCGTGTTGAACGGTATAGCAATTTCTTTCTTGTCATTTCACTTCCTTTTATTGCATATACACTGAATGATATGGTTGGGTGTCGTAATCAGTGGCGTTCTAGCATCGTAATTTCTTTGCAAACTTAGACCACTGAACTTCTCCATTTTCTGTTCGACTCTACCTTCAACTTTCCTGTCTTCTCCTATCATTCATCTAAATGGGCAGCCAAGAGACAGCAACTAAAACCGGCGCACGAGTATGCGTGGTCAATGGTTGTACAAACTGAAACTGAAACCACTGAGAACTTATCCGTAAGAAATAGGTGCAGTCTATTTGCATGCTTAATTTGTGCCTAGTGCGATGTTCAAAGTCTATCGTAATATGACAAAAATTTAAGCTCGATTTTAAACAACAGACTTCCCATATTATACGCATGTGAAGAAAAGCGAACGGTTCCAACATGATTCTATTGCTTATGGAATAAGCTGTTCGAAATCAGACATCGAACAATCAAATTTTGATGGACAGACTGATGCCCAGTTTATGAAATTCGTTTCGGGACAAAACTAAGTTCTTGAAAAAGTCACGCAGTTTTTTTTATACCGTTGATTAGCGTAAGCACAGCTAACCGTTGGTGGTAGAATACTTAACCACCCCTAGGGGGTGCCACATAAAATCTTTTGGAAAGTCGAAATTCCATTTGATTAATCATTCCTAGCACTGTAAACCGGTACAAAACTCGAAACATCCTCAGTATGTCACAATTTTACCTCCAAGAAATCCAAGTTGAGAAACTGCCCATAGGCTTTTCACGAACCAACGAAAAAGATTGACGGGCAGCAATTAGTTTGAATCGAACTAGGAATCACGAGATGGCGAAAAAAGTGAAAAGTGTATTTGTAATAATCAAAGATATATGCTATAGATAAATCTCACGGGTACTGAAAAATTCCGGGATGATAAAAGATCAGACGAATTTGATCACTTTTTGGGAAATTCAATGGGATGTCCAACAATGTTTGATATTTCCTGATGCAACAGATTGTGTAATGCGGTTCCATCATGCTTATAGATCCACTCTCCTTTGCTGGCCAGAAAGTCGTATCGCTTTGGACCACTAAGAGGTGAAGATAACCACAACTGTTTATTCGGTGCTTGTCGATTGAGGATGTAAGTTCCCACAGCGGGGCCAAATTCAACTTTGAGCACACCATAATCATGATGAACATCGTACACACTTCCCAAATCATACTGTTCACCAATCATTTCAAACACTTCTGCAAAATTATCTAGAGTCTCAGTAGACAGTCGCTCATATTGAGTTGCGCTCAGTTCGGTCGCAATTGTTGAGGAAGATACGGAGCTTTTAGTGCACATGCGGACCGTTCGAAAAACCGGGAAGGCCCGACGAACAAAACTTGATGACACTGTGATAAGGTTGTTCATGGTGGAACGTTAAGACAAACGTAACAAACACATGGAAACGGTGGCTGAAACAGAAACAGTAAAGAACAGGGTTACAGTAAGCACCAATCGACATCACTGTCACGTACGGTAATGACCTGTGGGATCCGAAGCAGTCATTCTGCGAAGACTCAATTCGAAAGGATAGCCAGTTAAAATCAATAACATTATCCCACATGACTAATCACAAATGACTGCATAAGTACATAAGTAATCTTCCTCCTGTTAATGCAACAACACCTGTTCGTCTATCAAGTGCGCTTTGCGTGCCCTCCGTACATTCGGACAGACAGATAATGCCATCGGTGCACTCA